GGTGGGGACGGGAGCCAGTGCGCCAGAGGGCATGCACATGTGTGCATGATAGAAAGAGAGCTCCTAGAGGGGACGGGTCACACTACAACTCTTTTGCTTTAAGTTTTCATCCCATCAGGATTCAGACATCTGTCAGGTTGTCTCCAAGCAGCCTGGGCTGGGACACGAGTCCTGGTCAGCCGTGTGGAATCCAGCTCCTCTGCACAGAGCCTACCCTCACATTAGGGGCCTGGCCCAACACGTGGTCCTAATTAGAGATAGAGACACAGGAAGTGGCTGTCCCCTCCAAGGCTGTGTGTGCTAACCAGGTTAACCAGAGTCCCACGGAGATGCAGAATTCCCTTTTTAAGCCAATGGTTGGTTAAGTCTAGCCTTTCCAGCATTTTCAAGCGGTTTAGGGTGAACGCTAAGCCAGAGAGATCGCTGCTGGTTATAGGTTCTCTCCCTCTCCCGTTGTTAATCAACAAATATGTGTTAAGCACCTACTGTGTTAAGGGAGGGCAGTAATGAGAACTTTGTAGGTTAAATCATGCTACTGCCAATATTCCATTATTTTTGATGAAAAATATAAAGTGGCAATGTGATATGGTCCCACTAGAGCTTGGGACCTCGGATGGGAGAGCGGAGGCCCAGACAGGGAGCTGGGGGGCTGGCGCAGGGCTGGCACACAGAGGACGTGCCAGGAGGGGCGTGAGACGGCCTGTGTGGAATCGGGAGAGCTCGGTTCCCTGTAAGCAGATGCGGGAAGCCGAGGCTCGAAGAGCAGTTGGGCACATGAGCAGGGAGTCTGTAGGGGCGGTCTGTTCAGAATCTGGATTTCGTCCCCCAGGGTGCAGGAGGAGCCCCAGGAGCCTCTGAGATGGCAGGTAAGTGACAAGGTGAAAGCAGCAGTTCAGGCCCGGCCTGGTGTGCAGCCAGTAGCTAACCGAGCTGCCATGCTGGAGGGCACGTGGCTGACCATGGTTCGGAGTCTCCATCACCCTGAAATGACACTGCAAGGCACGCGCATGCCCAAGACCCTGACGAGGGGGATCGTGGTATGAGAAGAACCTCTCAGGGGAGCCTATCTCTCACGTGTGTGCACACACACTCTCTCTTATGAATAAAAACAAAGTTTAAACAAAAAGCAGGGGGAGCAGTAGTGTGGTGTTTAAGGTGCTGAACTCCCACATGGCCAACCACAGCTCAAGTCCTGGACCTGGTAGCTTGAAAACCATGCCAGGCCTGTGTGTGTGCCCAAAATCCCCGGGGAGAATGAGAAGGGACTGTGGCACGGCCATCCCCCCGGGGGTGATTTTTCACTTTCCTTCTCTGTGTCTCTCTCCACTAAGCACACACACCCTGTGGCAAAAACCTTTTAAAAAAAGAAAAGGCAGAATACAGAAAGGCGAGACTGCTGAGGGAATACGTCACAGGAAGTCTGTGTAGTTCAAGGTTATTGTTTAGGATCCAGCCATAGCAACAGGCTGGATGCCATTGCTGGGCAGCCTGAAGCCACATGGGAGGTCCAGGTTTGAATCCCACAGCCCTAAAACGCTGTGCATGTCTGCGGTCCCAGCTACTTAGGAGACTGAGGCCAGAGGATCATGAGAGAGATTTTGTCTAAAAAATGCCCCCCCCCCCGGAACCAACAGTTGGCGTAATGGCTATGTCGCTGGACTCGCACATAGTCGACTGCGGTTTGCGTCCTGGACCCGGTGGCTTAAAACTCACGCCGGGCGCGTGTGTGTGCGTGCCCAAGATCCCGAGAGGAGAATGGAGGAGAAGGGATTGTGGTGTGGCCATCCCCCCTGGGGGGTGATTTCTCGCTTTCTGTCTCTCTGTCTCTCTCTGTCTGTCTGGTGAGCACACGCTCCCTATAGCGAAAATCTCTCCAAAAAAAAAAAAAAGATGCTTCCCCTGACACATACACTATGTATTCTAACAGAATGCAATATGAAATCTGCTAAACTCCTGGCAGTCGAGGACAGGAAACAACTGGGGATTGAGTGGTGGGCGAGGACATGATGGGGAAGACGGTGCTGGGGTTGGAGGGAGTTGTGTGTGTGTGTTGGGGGGGGGGCAGTAGGAGTGCCGAAAGGGAAACTAGACACACATGATGTAGGCAGCTTCTGACCAAGGGAGGCCGAGAGCCACAGCATCCTGACAGATGTAGTACTGATTTGGGACCAGCAGGTGGCGTGGTGGTTAAGGCACTGGACTTCGGTATGGCTGACTGTGGTTTGAGTCCTGTACCTGGCAACTTGAAACTCATGCTGGGTTCACGTGCTCAAAATCCCGAGAGGAGAATGGAGGAGAAGGAATTGCGGTACAGCCATCCCTCTTAGGGAGTGGAGTGATTTCTCACTTTCTCTCTCTGTTTCTCCTGTGAGCACATGCACAAAAAATCTTTCTAGAAAAACAAAAAAAGGGGCCAGGAGATGGAGTAATGGTTACATCGCTGGACTCCCATATAGCCTACCATGGTTTGAGTCCTGGACCCAGCAGCTTACGACTCACACCCGGTGTGTGTGCATGTGTGTTTGCCTCAAATCCCAAAATCCCAAGAGGAGAATGGAAGAGAAGGGATTGCGTCATGGTCATCCCCCCAGGGGGTGACTTCTTACTTTCTGTTTTTCTCTGTCTCTCCGGTGAGTGAGCACAGGCACTCTAGTACAAAAATCTCTCTAAAAAAATAAAAAATAAAACAACAAGAATAATAATGAGACACCATCTAGGATTTTGCAAGACAAAAATGTGGCCCATGGACCATATGAGGCCCAGCAAGCGTCCTTTTGCAAGGGCAGCGCTAGACGTTCTCAGGTCTGGAGGGACGGAAACACACTGTTCCCTCAGGCGGATGCACTCGCTGCTACTAAGCAAATATTTACTGAGCACCTAATAGTTGCCAATCGCTGTTCTATTTAAGTTGCAGCAGTTTACAAAACAAATATTGTCGCCCCGTGGAACTTCGTCGCAGCTGTGTGTGTGACAGTAAGTAACGACATGGTGCATGGGAAATAGCCAATATGTAAGAAGTTGGTAAGTACCACGGGGGGGGGGGCAGAAAAGGGGGCCTGGCTCCAATACTAATACGGCTGTCCAGGGAGACTTCATTCCGGACATTCTCAAGGAATTTTCTTACGTATATTTTTAGTTGCTAGAGATGCATGCTCTTGTCAGAAAGAGAGGAAGAAAGTACTCCCCAGTGGGGCAGAGTCATGCTGCAAGCCCTTCTCCCCCATTTCTCCCTCCTGCTGGGATTCGGGACAGGTACACACACTGGCCCGGTGTGTTCTGCAAGCTGTCAGGCCCAGGATTCGAACCATGGCTGACCAGGTGGAATCTGGCTCCCTTAACCATTAGGCTACAGGGTCAGCTCGAGAAGAACTGTTTTCTGTATTACCTACATTATGAGCGAGTTTCAGACATTATGAACATCCAATCTGCTGTTAATTTTTGAATACGCTGATCAGCCTCACAGGCGTCTTTGGTGAAACAGTGACTGAAGAGAAAATTATTTCCTAATACCGCCCCCCCGCCCCCAGGAAAGCAAGCAAAGTCCAAAGCAAAAACCTTCCTCCTAGATATTTTTTTTTGAAACCAGTATAATTTGAGGATCTATTTTGATCCAGCCAATTTGATTGCGTGCAATTTAAACTATATGATATTTTTCTACGCATTTTTCATTCAGATCATTTATATCCCCTGTAGAAACCTTAAGCTGCATTAAGGAGTGTGGTGGTGCCGTAGTAATGCCACTGGACTCACACGGGCAAGGTCCTGGGGTCGCGTCTCACGACCTCCCTGGGCAGACCTGGTGCAGGTCTAACCTACGAGCGGGGAAGGCTATCGGGCGGGGCTTCTCGCTCTCTCATTGAATGAGTAAATAACCATAAAAAGTGTGACAAGAGTAAAAATGTCTCCAAATGACGTGCTTTCTCCGCTCAGGCACTGCATGGGAGCCCCTCAGCACTTGCAGAGATATGGCCGGCACCCGGGGTCCACGTGCGCCCAGATGGAGTCCAGGGAAGGCTTTGCAGACAGTGTCTATGGCATCGTAAGCAGATGTGGCCTGGAACGGCTGATTATTCACTATGGGCCTCATTTAGAAAGCAACTTCACACGTTGACCAGTTTTTTCCTTTCATTTAGCTCATCTAACGAGGCGTACAGAAGGCTCTAAGCATGTTGCATCATTATGTAAAGCAGTCCACCCTATCTGAATGTATAATCCTGCCTGCCAACTCTGCGTCAGGCTCAGAGGCCGTGCAAAATCGCAGCTCTGCCCAGCGCTGTGCTCTGGGACGCTAAGCTCAGAGGGGTGGCACTTGCTTGAGGTCACACTCTGGGGAGGGCCGGAGCCCAGGCTTGGACCTGAGGTGGGTGCCACTGGAGGGCAGAGCCTGCTTTATAGGTGCTGGTGGGCGCTCGGGACCTGGGATTCCCTCGGGCCATGACCTAACCTTAGAAGGCCACATGCCCGCCCCACCAGCAGGAACTCAGGTTCAGGTACAGGGCCCTGGGGCTCGGGACCTGGTCACCTAGCTGAGTGGTGGCCAGGCATGGGCTGCAGAGGGTGGCTTACACCAGCGAGGACACATCCATCTTCATTAAAAACCTGGCACGAGTAGCAGGACCCTCCAGCAACAGATCCTTACCGCTCGTCCCTGTGAGCCGGGGTGGCGGGTGGCTGTGCTATGGGGAAGCCAGAGGGGGGCTGGGCAGATAAGAACTGTTGAGAAAACAAGGGCGTGGGAACAGACTTCCCCACAGGGTCCAAGTGGGCCGGGACAGCAGAGGCCAAGCCACAGCGCTGGAGCCTCCTGAACTCGGACAGATGCAGACAGCCCCTGACCCTGACCCCTGCAGTTCGCAGTCCGAACACTGGAGGAGCGTGGTCTGACAGAGTACGTTTTCTCTCGTTGTTTAAGATTTAAAATGGACTTACTTCTTCTACGAGAGACAGAAGGAGAGGGATGGGAGGAGGGAGGGAGGGAGGCCAAGGAGGGAGATAAAAGACCCACGACAGGGTGCTTGCTCCATGGCCCGCTCCACCTGCTGGCCCGGATCACGGGTCCACGTGTGGGACTGTCAGGGGGTCCTGCGACGTGAACCCAGGACCTTCCCACAGGGGCCGTTATTACCACTGTGCCACCAGGCTCCGGCTTTCTCATGGCTGGGACTATAAGCCCCTACGTCTGAGCGGAACAGCATGGAGCCTCAGCGCAGTGGGAGCGCCCCAGCCCAGAAGGGCACGGGTACCGGGGGCTTCTTCAACCCTTGCTCAACACCGAGGGCCGCGGTGCTGTCAGACGCAGGCTGCGAAGGCTTCCTCCTCACCCACAGCCCCCGCAAAGGAAGAACAAAGATGCTTTCTGCTGGAAGAGGCTCATTTTGACGGATGTGAGTATGAGCCACCCGTAGGAAGGCGAGCGCTGAGCGTGGCCATGAGGGGGTGTTGAGGCCACCCCTCTGCAAACACGTGAGGTGGCTCAGTTCTGAAGAGCAGGGAGGACTGGCCCTAAGACAGCGGGCAAGGACTCTGCTCCTCAGCGGGGTTCCCTGAGGAAGCCCACGGCTAACGGCAAGGCAGTGATGAGTCCCGGCAAACCAGGGACGTGCACGGCAGCCCTCCTGCGCCGGTGACAGCTCAGCGCTGCATGCAAAGCCCTTTTGCCTGACCCACCTAGTGAGCATGCACTACCCTGGGGACTATGGAGGTGGACGGCTGCCCCTTTGCTCCAGAGCATTTGGAGGAGGGACCAGCAGTTAGCGTAATGGCTGAGGCTGGAATCCCACGTAATTGACCACGGTTCGAGTCCCGGACCTGGAGGCTTAAACTCACATCAGGCATGTGTGTGTGTGTGTGCCCAAGATCCCGAGAGGAGAATGGAGGAGAAGGGATTGCAGCGTGGCCATCCACCCTGGGGGGTTATTTCTCGCTGTCTCTCTCTGTCTGGAGAGCGTATGCGCCCTATAGCAAAAACTTCTCCAAAAAAAAAAAAAAGAGCATTTGGAGGGGCCGGGCAACCTGCAGAGACCATGGGGCTGAGGACGGCATAGTGCCACCGTAGACTAAGGCTCCTACGTGGCCTGACAGGGCAGCCGGCACGTGCAAGGTGTTAGAACCGAAGCGACCACGTGACTCATGCCATCACGTCTGAACACGGACGGTGGTGGGTTCTAGGGAGAAAGGGCCCAAACTACACCCATGCTTACTGAAAAGGATTTTAAAATACTTCCAAACTTGTCAGTTCTATTTGGATCTGAGTGCAAGTCCCAAGATGCTATTTGAGGATTCTGGCATTGGCAGCGGGAAGGCAGAGAACAGGGCTTCCAACCAGGCTCCACCTGGAGGCCAAAGGCGGAGGGGCCTGGTACGGAGGCATTCTCTCTGGAAGAGTCGAGTTTGGGGAGTTAGATTCCAACTGGGCTGGTGGCTCTTGGGGAAGAGGATGGGTGGCTGCAGCCCCCTGGGGACCCAAGGGCACAGCGGGGCAGTGTGTGACTCTGAGGGATCTCACGGCACGTGTGTAAGATGCGGACATGTTAAACGCACACGAGCAAGCCACGTCTCCGAGGATGGGGTCAGTGGCCATTGCTGTCCTTGCTGTCTGTGCAGAGGCAAGGGGACAGCGAGGTCTGCCCGGAGCTGCGCGGACGTGCAGGAAGGCTGATGGCATCAGTGCCACCTGCCCACGCAAGGGCAGCCCCATCCCGGCCATGGGAGATCCCGCCTTACCCTCTGCCCTCCCTCCAGGCTCCTGGCGCTGCCCATCCCCCTTCCCTGCCCACTGTGTCAGGACGGCCCGGGCCGCTGGTTCCATAGCAGGAGACACCGTGATGCACTCCAGACGGCAAGGACGCTGGTGACAACCTGACTGCAAACAGCCTTCAACTACAACTGCGAGCCTTCAGGAAGTTCCTGAAGCCCAACCTTTAACCATTGTCTGTCCTCCCAAAGTCCTTTTCTCCCCCAATCACCATGCGTAAACCGAGGCCTCTCAGCCCGGGGCTCCGGTTCCGACAGGGACTCGAGCGTACGGTCAGATGCAACACGCGGCAGAACGACAGGGGGCTGGCGGGATTGCTTTCCCCGGGGACAAGGCACAGATGGGTGTGCGGTGGGAGGGACTCCGAACAGCTCATTGGCACATGGAATTACAGTGAGTTCATTTCGTTGCAAATAAATAAATAAATAAATAAATAAATAAATAAATAAATTGAGATCCATGCAGCTTTTTCACAGAATGCATTTCTTTGAACTTTCCGAGACCCCGCGTGTTCTAAGGTACGACTGGCTTCCCCCAGCTCGGGTGCCTGACGCCAAACTTCCAACGTATTGTCAGAAGCTACAAAAAGCTATGCTGACTCCCAGGACACAGGGGGAGTCAGTGCACACTGCCTGGCTTCCCGGGAACTCCGTGGGCTGCGCAGGAGGGGCCCGGCTCCGGGCGGCCGTGGGCTCAGCCTGCCCCAGCACGCAGACAGGAGCGCTTGTGTTTCTCCTGCAGGCCCACCTTCTCCATCTGCTAAATGGAGATGATGCAGGACCCGCCTCGGGTGGCTGTGACAAGGAACGAGCGAGGGCACCGTGCCTGGCACTGCATCAGGTCAGGACTCCAGGTGCCCTGGTGAGACCAGCCGTGGGGCGCGCACCGTGTTCTGCGACTCCACAGCCCTGGGGTGTGGCACGCTGTGGCTGCTCAATTTCCTGTTGAGCCAAAGGCGGCAGCAGACAGGAGCACAGCTCATGGGGCCGACAGCTGATCTGTGAGCTTTTCTTTTAGTTTGCTATAGGGTGTGCACACTCGCCGGAGAGACAGAGAGACACAGAGGGAACGTGAGACATCACCCCCCAAGGGAGGACGATCGCATCACAATCTTTTCTCCTCCATTCTCCTCTCAGGATTTTGGGCAGGCACGCACATGGACCCGGCTTGTTTCTTAACCTGCAGAGTCTGGGATTTGAACCATGCAGCCGGCCATGTGGGACCCAGCCACCTTAACATCCATGCCACCTGCTGGCCTGAACTTTTTTTTTGAGAGAGATTTCTGCATAGGGCATGCATGCTCACCAGAGAGAGAGAGAGAGAGAGACAGAAAGTGAGAAATCACCCCCTCCCCCAGGGGGTGGCCACACTGCAATCCCTTCTCTTCCATTCTCCTCTCGGGATCCTGGGCACGCACGCACACACCCTGTATGAGTTGCAAATCACTGAGTCCAGGACTCGAACCATGGTCAGCCATGAGGGAGTCTAGCAACATAACCATTACACCATCTGCTGGCCCCTCATTTTTTAACAGTTTCCAAATAGTAAAGTTGAGGGGCCAAGTAGTGGTCAGTGATAACACAACTGTGCCCACACAGGAAAGGTCCTGGGCTCACGTCCTGGCCCCCCCCCCCTTCCCCAGCACACCAGGTCCACGTGCCCAGGACCCAGGTGGCTGACACGGGTGGGAGGGCTGTGGTGTGGGGACACTGCTGAGGGTGCCTGTCTCTCTCTCATATGGGAAAAAGTAAATATATAAAAAAAAAACTTCTAAAAAGAGTAAAGTTTAGACCAAGCTTGAGATGCTGGGTTCTCTTGGAGTTTCACTGACTCAAACTTATTATGTCAGCATAGAAAAATGTGGTGGCAGAAATACAGACACAGTAATAACCCTGTTAAATTCCTTCCTGCGAATGTTTCCCTTTCAGCGAGGAGTGATCAGTAAACACTGCAGAAACCACTCTCCTGCAATGGGTCAGTTTTCCCGGAGAGAAATCCACACGGAGTCTTGCCATAATACTTTTCTTTTTTTATTACAATATCCAAAAAACTGGGTATGCAAGTTTAGGGGATCTCAAGACCCCTTCTTCAATTGTAAGGATGTGCCACCTCGAGACTTGTATATTTAAACTATAAAGAAGTTCAAATGGAAAGAAAAAGAAAACGCAATTTCTTCATAAACATTCTGTGTGTCTCTTACTTCCAATCACATATTCTTTTGTAAACCCTGAAAAATATCCCTGTAAAGCAAATTATATATATATATAAACATATATATATAGTGAGTGTGAGTGTGTGTGTGTGTGTGAGCGTGTGTGTGTAGAAAGTTGGTAGCTCCCCTTCCCCAAAGACCAGCTGTTTTCCTTAATCATCCGCATTAGTGTCAACAAATGGCTACAGATACATATTACCTGGAGAATTAAATACATAATCGTGAAATTCAAACAAGCTGAAGGGCGAGAGGAAAAAGCACTATGTGGATGGCACGTCTGGGGTAAATTACCAAAACTCCTGCCTTCCGGAGTCACTGTTCCCTCTGCCTCGGAGGAAATTCTCTTTATTGCAAGCACAGCCCGAAGGCACTGGGCAGCTGCCCGCGGCCATCTCACCGGCGGGCCCAGTATTGCTATCTGCCGACGCGCGGGCTTCCCGCAGCCTGGGAGCCACGCAGGGCACAGGACGAGGGACCAGGGCTGCGGGGATCGGGTAACAGCCGCCCGTGGGCCGCGCCAGCCGGTCCGGCGTGCTCAGTCCACTGGCCTCCCCGCGGCTGCCGTGCGATCTGCCCAGGCTGTGTCTTCTCAGGAGGGGCTCTGCCAGCACGAGCCGTCTGATCAGACCGACGCCATTCCCAAATGACAAGGAACGAGGTGGACAGGCTCGCCCCTTGAACCCGGGGTCTCTAACCGGCCGGGAGGCGGGTGGGCTGGAGCATGGATGTGAGGGCCTGGATGGTAAATGGGAAACAAACCGACAGGGCAACCTGACCCAACAGGCAGACCAGGCGAAAGAGGCAGATTGGGCCGAACCGCCACCAGAGAAGAGCCTCTGCAGGGAGCCAGGGAGCCGGCTGCAGCTGCGGGCGAGCCACTGGGCTCCGGGGAGGCGAGCGTGGCACGAGGCCTGGCGCTGGGGGCCGCGGGCGTGGCTCACTGCAGGGCTCTGACGAGGTAGAGCTTCTCCCCGTGCTCGCTGGTGAAGATGGGCGCCTTCCGGTAGTGCTCCACCAGCTCGTCCATGGTGTGGAACCGCCGCTGCCCGATGCAGTAGACGTCGTCCACGAGCTGCACCTTGAAGTGTTTGTTCTTCCCTGCCGCCTTGAGGGACACGGAGAAGTCGCTGGGCTGCGGGGAGAGAACACGGTTAGTGCGCGCTAGCTCCGGGCCGCGGCTGCGACGGCGTGACCACACGCCTGCTGCCTGCCTCGGGGTGGCCTCGGCATCTCCCACCGGGCTCTGCAGATCCGGCCGGGGCTGTCTTACCATCTCCAATGGCATCCGATGGTCACCCAGGGGGAGCCCCAGGTTCTGACATGGGTTGCAGAAGAATTAGATCCTGCGTCCACACGGTGCCTGACCGTGCTGCCCAACAGGAGTGCCTGAGACCGGGTGACTTACAGAGAACAGAGCTTTATCTGCTCACGATCTGGGTGGCTGCAGAGTCCCAGGACATGAGGCTGGCACCTGCTGGCCTCTGCTGCTATGTCACCACGTAGCATGGAGGACAGACCAGGGCTCAGCAGCCACATGGGGGGTGGGCGAGAGGAAGGAAACACTTGCCCTTGTTCGTCCCTTCCATGTCCCCAGCTGACCGATGGTGCTGCCCACACTGAAGACAGCTCTCTGGTAAAGGCCTCAGCACCTGCCGATGTCATGACATCAGGGACCAAATTCTGACCCACGTACCCTTGGGGGAGAACCCATATCCAAACTACAGCACACGGGTTCAGTGTTAATTTCAGTTATTTGAAAAGTGGAAATTTATTGTGGAATGTCTGACAACCACATTTAACCTGGATGCTTAAGAAACGTGAGTGTTTAATTTCCCAAACTATTTCTGATAAACTGGGAGTTGACTAAAAGTGGTTTGCATGCAGGCTGCAGCTAGAAACATGAAATCAACCGATGTCTACTACTATTACCAACGAAGCCAGGACCAGAAGATAGGGTAATGGTACTTCGCTGGACTCCCACGTAGTCGACCGTGGTTCGAGTCTCAGGCCTGGAGGCTTGAAACTCTTATCAGGCGCATGCCCAAGATCCCAAGAAGAAAATAGAGGAGAAGGGATTGTGGCATGGACGTTCGCCCGGGGGTTGGGGGTGACTTCTCGCTTTCTGTCTCTCTCTGTCTCTGTGGTGAACATGTGTCCTATATCAAAAACCTCTCTGGGGTGGGGTGGGGGGGAAAGAAAAAAAAGAAAAGAAATGAAGCCAACACACATTTTCTAGTTCCAAGCTATTTAATACTGAATACTGAGAGAGAAGTGGAAAGGCCCTGGGGCCACCTTCCGGGGCTCCCCGACACCGGGTGTGCCTGGGAGCCTGCCTGGCTGCAGGTCTAGGGGACGGGTAGAGCTGTGCAGACTCTGTCCCGAGTGCCTGTTCGTCCCTGTCTTTCCCTTCCTCCTCCACTTCCTCCTGAAATAAACCTTAAGCAAAAAACTTCTGAACACTGACTGCAGGCCTGGCAGGCCACGGCCTGGACATGTGTGTGTACACGCAAAGGTCACGAGCTCCACCATGACGGTGCGGTGCAGGACAGGAAAGAGAGGAGGACGCAGCTGCAAACAGACGACGTCCTCCAAGGAGGGCAGGGCGTGCGGGGCTGAGAGCGAGCGGAGTGTGTGCAGGGCGGGAGCGGGGTTTCAATACACTTAAAGATGAAAACAAAGTGCGTACCCTTGGGGCCAGCAGGTGGCATGGTGGTTAAGGCACTGGACTCCCACGTGGACTGCAGTGTGAATCTCAGACCTAGAGACCTGCTTTCTCACCTTCCCTCTCTCTGTCTCTCTCTGGTGAGCACATGTACCCTACAGCAAACTTAAAAATAATACCAATAATAATAAAAAAAGGTGTTTTGTTTTTTTTGGGGTTTTTTTGTTCTTTTTTAAAAAGGGTGTACCCATAAGAAGCCTCTTTGGGGGTAAGCACGTGGCATGGAGCCTAAGGCGGCTGGATCACACATAGCAAACTGCACGGTTTGAGTACCAGACCCAGAGGCTTGGAAAACACACTAGGCGAGTGGGTGTGCACCCAAAATCCCAAGAGGAGAAGGGATTGCAGTGTGGCTACCTCCTGTTAAGGATTTTTCCCTTTCTTCCTCTCTTGCAAGCCACTTTCTCTCTCTCTGGCAAGCCACAAACCAAAGAAAAAAAAAAAAAAAAAAAAGAGAGAGAGAAGAAAAAGAAAAAGAAAGGAAGAAAGAAAAGCAGCCTCGCTGGCTCCAAACAAGGCGAGCCCCAGCTTCAGCTTGCGGGCAGCGTGGCGCTGACACTGCCCGTGCAGGACGCTGCCCGGCCCAGCTCCTTCCCGGTTCCCGAACCAGGGACCGAGCAGCTGAGGGTCCGGCCGCACTGCCCCCGCCACGCGGCCCTCCGAACAGGACCCCCAGACTCACTTACTGGAACAAGTGCCCAGGCCGCCGCCTCTCACACGGAGTGTGGAGTAGCCCAATGACGAGCTAACAAGTGTGCAAATCCTGCAGCCCAGCGAGTAACTCCGTCTACACCGACGGCAACACGGGGAACGGGGTCTGAGAAAATGCCACGCACAGAGCAGCAGGGTCACCCACCACCCATAGCTGCTAGCCCTGAGGAATGAAGGGACCCCATACTTGGCTTGTCTGTGTCCCTCAGCCCAGAGCAGCCCTGTGGGGAAAACCCCATCTTCTCTCCTTGCTAACCCCCGGGCCTACTGCCCCCAGGAGCCCCAGAAATGCTCCAGGTGAGACTTCAGGAGCGGTGGCAGAATCTCGTAATCTAGACTAGGCCTTAGCTACGGATGTTTTCGGAGTCATGGCCACCAGAGGGCTAGCAGGTGTGGGAGACAGACCTGACCATCACTCCAGTGGCCCCTGGACCAGCCCGGCTAAGTGGCTGTGGCAGCCAGCCCTGTCCATGGCAGACTCTTCTTAACAGAGAAGTTTTTGCTATGGGGCATGTGTGCTCGCTGGGGAGACAGAGGTAGACAGAGAGGCAGAAGGCAAGAAATCACCCCCCAAGGGGGGCGGCCATGCCCCAATCCCTTCTCCTCCATTCTCCTCTCAGGTACCCGGTGCCAGATTTAAGCCGCCGAGTCCGGGACAAGACCAACAATTGACCACGTTGGGGTCTAGCGGCGTAACCACTGTGCCACTGCTGGTCCCGTCCACGTCAAATGTTAAGCAACACAAACCCACTCTGTGTAATCACGTGGCCGCTCCAGGTCATCAGTGTTCCCATGGACGGAGCGAGATGGGGGGACGCCAGCCGTGGCGTTGTCACGTGCAGTTTAGGATGTAAACCCACACAGGCACTGCCCGACAGGAGGTCGCTGTCACCAATGGCGTAGTCTCAGGTGAGGAGAGGCGGCCGGCTTGTCTCATGACACTCGGGTGCAACAGTCCCAGCGGGCTACCAAAGCTTCAAAGTATGAGTTTATTTCGGTATCCCAAAACTCGGAATCCTTGAAGTTTTTCATCTTAGCCTTTCCTTTGAACTTTCTGAAGAGGGAGCCCTCAAAGTATAAACCATCAACCCTTTCCTGAGGGCTCATTTCCCTCAAGGCCTTGTTATGTGCGTTTCCAGCCCCTGGGATTAACACCCTACCAGTGCACCTCAGGCCTCTGCAGGGCGCAGTGCCTGAGGGAAAGGCGGAGGGCGAGCTGCCCTGAACCCTGAACCAGGCTGCGGTTTTACGCTCCTCAACTGACGGATAAAATGGACCGTTTTGGTGGAACATACGGCAGTAGTGGTGAATGTACGACACGCTCAGCTCGGGACCAGCAGTTAGCGTAATGGCTATGTCGCTGGACTCCCAGCGTAATGGCTATGTCGCTGGTTCAAATCCCAGACCTGGTGGCTTAAACTCACACCAGGCGTGTGTGTGTGTGCGCCCAGGATCCGGAGAGAAGTGATTGCGGCGTGGCTATCCCCCCAGGGGGTGATTTCTCGCTTTCTGTATCTCTCTGTCTTTCTGGCGAGTGCATGTGCCCTATAGCAAAAACCTGTCCAAAAAATAAAAAAGGAAAGATGTGAGCGAGGCTGTCGGTGAAGACAGCCCAGGTGGGCAGGGTTCGTGGCGGACTCGCCGACTGCCTTTCTGACTGTCCCGAGGAGTCTGTTTGGGCTCCAGACAAGCTCATGTGGACAATCTCCCCGACAGGACAGTTGGACAGAGACCAGGCCGTGGGGACTGCACCCATCCCTGGACCTGACCGTGGTGGAGCTACTCCAGACCCAAACGCTCCTGCAGCGAGGGTGAGACCGTGACTCCTGGGAGGGCGCTCCATCGGCTGTCCCACTGCTGTCTCTCCAGGCTGGGCTTTCAGAGACGTGGGCAGTCAGACACAGGGGCCCTGCCATGCTCAGGCCTCAGTGAGCAGCAGCGTGCTGACAGCACCACGCGGCACACTCCACGCAGGCTTGAAGGCCCTGCCATGCTTTGGGACATGCGGTCAAGACACTGGCTGAGGTGGCGATCATCTGATGGCTTGGCTGGGGATGGCCCTGCTCACGAGGTGGTTTGCTGGCCCGAGACCTGCAGGGGCCTCTGCTGGGTGGCTCGAAGGTCTTTACAGCACAGTGGCTGGGTTGCCTCCGATGGAGCGAGGTAAGAGTGCTAAGAGAAAGCCGCAGTGCCTTCCCGTGTTGGATGCTGCCGTCCATGGCGTCTGCCAGCTTCTGCTCACCGCGAGGTCCCTGTGCACAGCCGTGCCAGGGGAGGGGCCCCGCTCGGCCCCGGGAGGGAGAGTGCAGACTTCGTGGGCGCAGACGCCGTTTGCTGCCGTGTCTGTGGATGACCGCCTGACTAGGCTTCGAGACACCTGCCTCTACTCCCCTCCGACCTGTGAGTCTCCTCCCATAGCCTGACGGTCACGTCCCTTCTCTCGCCAGACACTGGACTTCCTTGGCGCAGTTTCTCCTGGGTACTGGCTAAGTCTTCAAACTGTCTAACCTTAGACTACTTGCTATCTCGGTCTCTGGCCATCCCTCGTAAGAAATAGTTTCACTACTCTCATCTTTTTTGTTTGTTTTTAATTTGCTGTGGGCACATGCGCTTGCTGGGGAGACTACAAAATCATGCCTTCCCTCCCTGCCCTCATGGGGGATGGCCACGCTACAATCTCTCCTCCATTCTCCTCCTGA